CCTAAACCCCTAAACCTCAAACCCCCCTTTTTAAGCCCTAAGAAAGGACCCCATATCTCCCCTCCTCGCCCAGGGTGTCCAGTGCCACATGCGGCGACAGCTTCTCCCCGGCTGCTGTGGCGAGGCTACAGATGGGCACCTGCTGGGTTTAGGGCTTAGGGTTTANNGGGCTTAGGGCTTAGGGTGTAGGGCTGAATGGAGGGAACCCTAACCAAGAGAGTCCAGATATACTACGATTATGGCATTAGGCCCCCAAAACCATCCTAGCGATGGTCTTTTGGGTCCATAGTTCCATACAGGTAGTGTCTATGGACCCTCGGGCTACAAGGAAACCTATTCTAATTTGTGAATGCCCCAAACCCTAAACCCTAAACCCCCCTCACGACAGTCTTCTTGAAGGTTCCCATGGCTTTGTGCACTCCTGAACCTTGTAAGTCCTGTTGTAAGCCCTTCAAAACCTAAAAACCCTCGAGGCCCTAGAAAACCCGTAAACCCTGCAAACCTTAAACTTTGCCTCAATTTAGGGGCCTTAATGGTTAGAAAAGGGTTTCGGCGTGTATGTTATACTATAATTATAATCAGGAGCCCGCAAAAAAACCCTATTCGAAGTCTGAAGGCCCCCTACATTAACCCCAAGACGCCCTAAACCCTAAACCCTAAACCCTAAACCCTAAACCCTAAACCCTAAACCCCAAACCCTACAAGCACCTTCAGCTTTACTAGGGTGGCTAGGGAGGAGTCTCCCAGCCGAAGTTGAGTTGAACCCTTAGGGTCCCAGTAGGGTTTAGGGGTTTAGGGTTTAGGGTTTAGGGTTTAGGGTTTAGGATTTTGGGCTCAGGGTTAAGGGCTAGTTACAGGGCTTTATGATTCAGGAAGTCATGAGCTCAGGGGTTTCAGCTGTCAAGGCCCTGTTGATATCTACTTGCAGGTTTGGGGAAATAGGGTTTTAGCCTAACCCGGCCTGCATGATGGTGGCCACGTGGGCGGCCAACTCCGAAACACTCTGAAAATCCGAGGGCTCGAAGCTGTGCAGGTGTTCGCCGGCCATTGAGATTACCTGTGATGGAGTTGGCGCAGAGCTGGCATAAAACAGCAGCAAAACTGACAATGAGTGTAACAGGTGTGATCATCGTTTTGCGTGCAGGTATGGGTTCAATACCAGACTAAGCACCCAAAGCCATGCCAGACAAACCGACAAACAGGAAGAACAACATGTATGTTCATCCTACATCCTGCCGGAAACCTGATCAGACAGGGTTCAAGGGTTTAGGGTTTAGGGTTTCTTGAGACTTGGGTTTAGGGCTTGCACTTTGGGGTTTAGGGTTTTGGGGGTTGTGAGCAGAGTAACTGCAAATCAAAGGCGGAACGAAAAACGCCCAAACAGGCGCGTGTAGCATAGTTTCAGCTCGACTTCCAAGCTTCTTGCACATGCAGCTGCTTCCGTATGTAAGCAAACCCAGAATATCAAAACCCTAAACCCTAAACCCTAAAACCCCAAACCCTAAACCCTAAAACCCCAAACCCTAAACCGTAAATCCTAAAACCCTAAACCATATCAAACCCATGGCTGGTGCCATCCCAGGTTGAAGGCTTCGGAAATATAGGGTTTAAGGCTTAGTATTAGGCGGTTCTAGGCCCTACTGAATGCCGGAAGCCTCTCTTGCTGGTTCTTTAGGCCCACCCAGACCGGTAACTCCATAAAGCCATGGTTTTGGGTTTAGAGTTACTGGTTTCGCAGATCCTTGATGTTTAGGGTTCAGGGCTTTAGGGTTCAGGGTTTAGGGCCATTTTCAAGTCTGGCCTCTGTGTCCTGTTGATTTGGGTGAAAGAGGCCTACGGCCGTAACCCCTTACTTGGAGGATCATGGGACTTAGTAAGTAAGGTTATAAGTCCCTTAATTGGGTTATAAGTAAATATAAGTAAGCCACCTAAGTTCCATGATCCTGTAAGTAAGGCAGCAGATGCTCTTTCTGACACGACATAGATGATACCTCAAAGTTGGGTGGTCGTTCTCTGTGCGATCTGGGCTAGGTTTAGGCTTAAGCATTCGGGGTGGGCTATCTCAAGACATCTTGAAGCAACATGGGGCAAAATAGCCAGGGTAGTAAACAAGATGATCATATTCATATCCGCAGGTACTCACTACCCAAACCGCTGAAGTAAGCAACACGCCTTAAAGCCTGCCTCAACCAATGAAGGATGGGTTCTTGAAAGGATTTAAGGTGCATTTCTTGATGAAGGTGTTTCGGAGTTGCAGATGGTTTTTGGCCGTTCGGGCTTTGGAATTCGCGGTGGGCTCCGGGCCGATGCGTTCCCTTGGTAGTTTAGCGTTTGAGATTTGGGGTTTTGGGGTCTAACCAAGGGTGCTTGGAGGATCATGGGACTTAGTAAGTAAGGTTATAAGTCCCCTAATTGGGGTTATAAGTAGAGTTACCTTACCTACAACTAAGTCCCATGATCCTTTAAGCAAGGGTGTCCATGAATCAGATGTTCGGGCTGGAGGGTCAGGGGGAATCAACATGTTAGAATAGAGTCAGATGTCTCGAACCAGCGTTATTGTAGAGGCCTCAATAAGCACGTATACTATGTTGGGAGTTCCTGATTGTATAATTAGTGAGAGGCATAACATGCCCCCAAACCCTATGCTAATTATTAAGGCCCCTACACTATGCCTTACTGTTTCGACCTGGCACCGGCTAATGAATTCCTTTGATTTCTAAACATTCTAAGCCCTGTAAGAACGGGTTCGAGGTGACGGAGAAGCACGGAACGAAACCCAACTGAAGCCTGCCTTGGATTTCACGGGACCCTCAATCCTAAACCCTCTAAGCCCTAATGGAGGGGCCTAAATAATTACCTATACTATTTTTTGGGGGGGGCGGTCCTTATTATTATAGTTATAATGGGCCCCAAAACCTTATTCTAATTATTAAGGCCCCTACATTAAACTTTAGACTGAGTAAGGTCCCAGAAAGCCTACTGCATTCCAGGATAGGGAGAGCGATGGGCGTCAGCATCAGAGCGGGCTGAACTGCCAGTGTGGCCTGGGGGACCCTCGGAACATAGCTTATAATATATCATAATCTGCTATGGTATATGATAGCACATTATCGTATAATATAGTAACAGAACCTTAATGCAAGTATAAAATGGTGGACATGCGCAAAATCGCTGACACTCTGTCTCCCTCTCACGCACACACATGCACATCGGCGTACACACACACACACTGCAGTGTCCTCGAACTACCAAGGACAGCGTTTGCATCTTCTGTGGTGTTTGCAAGCAGTGCGAAGACGGTTCTCACTGCAGCTTGGAGAGACTTACCAGCTTGCCAACCCCCGCCAAAGAAATTGCGGAGCTTCTCGAGATGTACAGGAGCAGCGATGCAAAGTCAGAGTAGGACAAATACAAACCTGCACAGCCTCCTCGCGATGTACAGCAGCAGCGACGCAGTGTAGGACAAAACAAGTCTGCACATCTTCAGGGATCACCGTTCAGATTGAGGTTACTTTAGAAGCATAAATAATTACCAACAGTATTCCTTGTGGTTCCTTATTATACTTATACCATAAAGGAGCCCAATAAAGGAACCCTATATTAGTCTTGAGTCCTGAAACCTCCTAATCCGAAACCCTTGCAGCACATGTCAGGGGACCCTCTTGCCACTCCCACTGTGTCGCGTTCCTCTTGAGGTTGCGATGTACGGCCAAAAAATAAAGATCTTACGGGGTCTCGTATGTTGTTCACGGCTAAAGGGCTTGGGCATTTAAGGTTTCCGGTTGATTATGGCTGATGATACAACTGTAGCCTTACAGAAGGGGCACGAATACAGAGCAAATGCTCGATCTGCAGGATCGGGGCCATGCAGTGTTCCGAAACGCTTTGAAGGGTGTAGTCATATGACAGATCCCTAAACCCTTAAACCCTTAAACCCTAAACCCTAAACCCCAAACAGATCACTGAGAACAATCTTCCTAAGTGTTCAGGCTTCTGTGTACGCTAGGCCCCCTAGGGATTCTCCAGTCTCTACACAGCAGCATCCCAAAAGCCCCATGACAACCTAGCTCCTGAAAGCCCCGGAGGGAGCGCACAGAATCCGAAGCCCACTGCCCTAAACCCCCAAACCAGCAATGACAATAATAACAACAATAATAGGAATAGTAATCTCAATACTATCTAAAACTAATACTGTTATTAATCAAAATACTCAGCCTAAACCCCCATGTAAACCGTAAACCCTGCCTCAAACCTCCAATACAAGAAAAGGCAGAAAGCTACCCGAACCAAATTAGAACCCTTCAGACTTGTAGAACCCCTGAAAGAATCCTGTCTGGAATTTAGGGCTTCAGGGGCTTCAGGCTATAGGGCTTAGAGCTTCGGGTTTAGGGTTTAGGGCCTAAGTTTAGGGTTTAGGGTTTAGGGTTTAGGGTTTAGGGTTTAGGGCCTAAGTTTAGGGTTTAGGGTCTCTTAAGTTCACACAAATCCCACACTGCCTCTCGCACCCTGAGCTCAACACCGCAAGCCCTAAACCCAATGGACCGAAGGCCCTATGTAGACCTGAGACCCTCAGCCTTAAAACCTTAAAGCTCAGACCCTAAACCCTAAACTCTAAACCTCAGATCCTAAACCCCAAGCCCTAAACCCCAAACCCTAAACCCCAAACCCTAAACCCCAAACCCTAAACCCTAAACCCCAAACTCTAAACCCCAAACCCCCCAACCCTAAACCCCAAACCCTAAACCTCAGACCCTACTTGGAGGATCATGGGACTTAGTAAGTAAGGTGGTAAGTCCCCTAATTGGGGAAAAAAGTATAGTTACCTTAATGATACGCTACTTATTCAGTCCCATGACCCTTTTCTGTAACGCTAAACCCTAAATCCTACACCCCTAAACCCTAAACCCTAAACCCCGAAAACCCTAAACCCTAAACCCATATACTAAGTCCCACGATCCTTTAAGTAGGCGGTAAGCTTTAAGCCCACAGGGTCCTTTTTGAGGCCCGAGCTCGCCGAGATCCGCGGGGCGGTTTCGGCCTTGGCAGGTTTTAGTGTGTCTTAAGGGTTTAGGGTTTAGGGCTTCTTTTCAAAAGGGTTTAGGGTTCAGGGTTTAGGGCTTCTGTTTTGAAGGGTTTTGGATATAGGGCTTCTGTTTTAAAGGGTTTAGGGTTTAGGGTTCCTTTTTTAAAGAGTTTAGGGTTGAGGTTCCTTGTAAAGTTTGGGGTTTAGGGTTCCTTTTACGGTTAGGGCTTAAAGGCTTTAGGGTTTAGGGTTCCTTTACGGTAGACGAGGTTTAGGGCTTAGGGTTTCGGCTTTAGGGTTGAGGGATTAAAGCTGCAATTTCTTAGGAGTTATTGACCACGACGTCGAGCGTGAGTGAGGGGTGATCCCCGACGCGCCGAGTAACACAGGGGCCTTAATAAGGAGATTGGGGATATGGGGAACATTATACGATAAGTATTGGTAGTTCTGCAGGCCTCTTTTAGTGCCAATGGCTTGGACGAGGCGATTCCGTTCAGGTCGCATTTTTGGACGAGGGACTGCCGCGGTAGGTGAACGCCATTGCTTCGTCCTTCCACAGGGCTGGTTTGCCACCAGACGTATTTCGCGGTGATCGGCAATCTCAACGGGACGGAGCATATGTGCTCTAGTCTTTTCTTGCACAAGCAGTGCAGGCAGACATCCGTCCGTCTATCTCTCCTACATCCCTAAGCCCGGACCCTGAAATCCGAAAAAGATGTTTGTTTCCAAGTAAGAGAGAACAACTAAACACCCGAGCCGGAAAAGACATTGAGCCTTAAAGCCTTAAAACAACAGCCAACCTCAAAACCTTCAACCCGAAACCCTCAAACCTTAAACAATGAACTTGAAACATCCCAAACCCTAAGCCCTAAACTCTAAAACCTTAACCTTCAACAATGGTTTGAGCCAGGAGCTCGTGGTGGTCTTCGAACGTTTAGTCGCTCTTGGCATGACGCCGCCCAAGGCCAAGGGTGTCTGGGTTTAGGGTGTTTCGGGCTTGTTTGGCGGTGTTGGGGCATGCATGG